ATTCCCTAATGATATAGTTTGACTTTGTGTCCTCACGCAAATCTCATCTTGAACTGTAATCCCATAATCCCCATGTGTCATGGGGATGGTTTCCCCCCTCATCATGGGGGTAGTTCCCCCCATGCTGTTCTCATGACAATGATTGAGTTCTCATGAGATCTGATAGTTTTATCAGGGGCTTCCCCCTTGGCTCCACTCATTATCTCTCCTGCTGCCCTGTGAAGAGGTGCCTTCCACCATAATTGTAAGTTTCCTGAGACCTCCCCAGCCATGCGGAATTATAAGTCAGTTAAACCTCTTGTCTTTATAAATTACCCAGTCTCAGGTAATTCTTCATAGCAATGTGATAACAGACTAATACACCTAATAATGTACCTGCCCCCAAAGGCTTTGTAATGCAGAACAATAAATCACCAAACACTATTTCTGTGCTATATAACAAAGGTCTGGACAAAGGTCTTCACAGGGACCATACTCTCTAATTTTTGACCTAGATCTTAAAGCACAGGTAATTGTAGCAGACAGATCAAGAAGAAGGTCCCTGCAAGCAGAGGGAAGAGCAAGGACGAAGGTGTGAAGTGAGGAAGTATATATAGTGAAACAGAGAAATCATAAAAAGCTTGGGATGACACAAAAGATAAAACAAAAAAGTTGATGTGAGACCACACTATCCTATTCCAACAAATGTGAAATCAGTTGTGAAGGCAAAAGGGAACTTCTGGAAGCTTTTAAACAAGCGAGTAGCACAATGTGTGTGATGGGCATTACTGACGTTTGCCACCTGTTTCCCATGCTTTCAAGGCATGTGGTAGATTTCATTTCCCTGCCCCTTACAGAATAAAACATGATCATGTGATCCATTTAGCCAGCGAAATGTGAATAGAAGTAGACTGTGTCACATCCAGGAGGAAGCTTGCAGGGTAGTTTTAGCCTAGCACATTCACATCCCCTTCTGAGGTGAATAGAGAAGATGTTGAAAGGGAATTTCCAGGAGGTCCTTGAGTTGCTACGAGAACCAGAGCTCCCCCATCCCACTCCCACCTCCCCATGTCCTGTGATAAATATGTAGTGTAAATGATGGGAAATCTCGCATGATAATAAGCCTCTGGATTGGGGGGATTGTTTGTAATTGCCCCTAAAGTCACCTGTCCTTGCTAGCACAATGTGCAATTTTAATTGTTAACTCTGATAATTACATAGAAGATGAGTTTAAGAGTAGAAAGCTTGCAGGACGGAAAACTAGCTAGATAGCTACCATAATCCAATAGTGCAAGGCAGGAGGCATGAACTTAGAGAAGCAGAAAAGGAGTCCAGAGATGCAATGGCAAGAACTGAAATGAATTGATAATCATTCAGATTCTAAAAGCACCTAAGAGCCTAATTGTTTCAGATGTGTTGAAAAGAGAAAGTTCTTGAAAGAAAAACGTTGACTAAGAGGGGAGATGAAATAAAACAAGATGAATGAAGCAGGTGTATTTTATATCTTGTCAAAAGCAAAGGCACGTCCCTCTGCAATGAAGGCTAGAGGTAGATCATGAACTTAGGAAGAAAACCGACTAAGTGTGAATGCTGGGTGAATTTGACAAGCCATTCAACTTCATTTGTGCACTTATTAATTCATTCAGCAAATAGTAACAGCTTCACTTATTCATTCAACATCAGTAAAAACACAAAAATGGCCCCTGCCCTAATGGGGCTTACACTGAAATGTAGTGAAGCAGATACAACTATTTAAATATTGTGTAGAAAACCGACATGATACTGTGATTACAAAGAGGAGGCAAAAATAATTATATAGGACTTGTCAAAGGCAGTGACCACTCATCTTGTTTAAAACCCCTATATGGCATCAAAGCAAAAAACAGAGATCTTTGTGCCCTTTGAATGTATAAAAAGAACCATCCTCCTTTCCTCTTGCTGTTTTACATTTAAAGAACCAACTGTTAAAAATCAATTCTCTTGACCCAAAGGCAATTTTTTAAAAATCAAGACTTCTGGTTAATTAACACCACCTGGTGAGCCTTTCAAAGATTGTTCTAAAGGTGGCAGGTGGGGAGTGGGTGGTTAAATGTGGCTTTTAGATAAGCAGCTTCTCAAGGTACCAGATGCATATGAGTCACCTGGAGATCTTGGTCAATTTGGGATCTAATGCAGGGGATCCAGAGTGGGACCTGAGACTCTGCATTTCCAACAAGCTCCCAGGGGATGCCAATGCTGCTGGTCTCAAGAGATGCCAAGGCAAGGTTCTAGAGACCTTGGAAGTGTACTAACCTCAAGAGAGTTCATGGGCTGTGCTTGCCTCCCAGCGTTGGGTACTGAGCTCAGAAGAGCATCTCTATCACGTGCCACCATTTCTCATCAGGGCCACCTGCTTTCCTTTGTACAAAAAAAAGAATCAAATTTCACTATGTGACTATTATGTGAAGGTTCTGCACAAAGGGTTTGTGCTAGCTTATTAGATTCCAACAACTCCCTGAAGTGGGTACTGTGAGTATGTCTATTTGATAGAAGGGAAAACTCCAACCCAGAGAGTTTAGGTCACACTAGTAAGTATGGAAAGCACTCAAAACTCCAGAGTCAACTCCAGAGTCTACTCCAGAGGTCAAGCTCTCCAGCACTGCCTCTTTCTTGCTGTAGTTACACCACAAGCTTCTTTCTGGCTCTGTTTCTGGATCAGAAATGACTCGCAGTTGACTGCTACTTCCTGTTCCAAAGTTGATAAAACCAACTCTAGTCCTGCAACAAAATGTGTTGGTTTCAGGAAAACACAATTAAAATTCAAATTGAGGAATCTTCTGGAATTTGGCAAAGAGAAACATTTAACATTAGCATTGAGATTGTTTTGTTTGTAGTGTTTAAAATGAAGTATTGTCAGTTTGTGAAAGACTATCATGTGACTCTCAGAACTCTTGGACACTGTCACTTTATCAACAGAACACCTGCTGTTTCATTCCACAAGAATGGCAGAAGTTTCCATAAGAACCTTCCCTACCAATGCAAAGAAGCTACTGCATACCACATTGCAACATCTGTGATATGGTCATAAACTCCGCAGTGATACTAAGTTGTAATAAATTGGAGTCTAACATATGTGCTTTTTATTATTCTCCTAAGAAGAGACCCTAACTCAACATGTGCATGAAAGTTTCACATGTGTGTGAAAAGATGGGCTCTCAAACTTGATTGTGCATGAGAATCTACAGGAAATTTTAAAATAACTAGAGAGTCTGATCAAATTGGTTTGGAATGGTCTGGGTATCAGCATTTTTTTGATGCTCCTGAAGGGATTCTAATGCACAACCACAATTGAGAATCACTGGCATAAAAGACAGAAAGGAGACTGTAAGATTCATGCTATAGTCAAAATAGAAGGAACAGGAGGAATGTCTTCATTTATTGTTAGGGTTTTGCATATCTGCATGGCTACAAAGGTCTAAGATACCAATAGTCCCCAATTTTAACTGCAAGCAAGTGATTCCCTACAATCAGTGACCAACTGCATAGATCAATACCAGCAACACTGTTCCAAGGCAAAGATCCTTAACCTGAGGATGGAATTCAGGTGATCTGCATAGAAAACTCGAATCGGAAAAAAAGTTGCATCTTTGTTTTTAGTAACATATCACAGAAGTTCAACATGTCCTTTCTTTATGGGTATAGGCAACAGACCACAGCAGTATTGGCAGTTCTTGATAGTTTGCACCCTGTAGTATTTTCATGCCACATTTCATTTTGGGCTATTATCTAAAATACCATTTGCAGTCATCACTACTTGGATATTACAGCTGCTTAATCGGCCTGCTGTTAAATCTAGCTATTTAATGCAATAATGATGACGCACCTATGTTACTATATCACGACTTGAGAACTTCCATAATTGCATTCCAATAAAACTGATTCTAGTTTGATTGTATTTTATGCATTTCACAACATTTGCTGAGAAGGGGTCTAAATGTTTTACCAGAGCCGGTGCGGTTCCCTGGGACAGGAAACGGCAAGAGCCTGCTAAAGGACGGTGCCCCGACAAGCCAGGCACCTCGCATTGGCATCCCAGGCCACCCCCAGGAAGGGCGCACCCTGATGAGAGCTGGGTCTTGTTTTGCCCTGCATTTCCGCAGATAAGACTTGGCCTGAAAAGCAGTTCAACTCAACGGAGAATAGGATGGGCTTTCTCTTTCTCCTCAGCTGCCTCTTTCTCTTGGCATTTTGGAGTGCCCCGACTGCCAGGCCGGTAACTCGAGCCTCCAAATTAATCAAAACACACAGCACCCAGTTAAAGCCCAGGCAGACAAACCCAGGAGCCAGACGAGCTCTCCTCTAGTGACCCCCGGGCCACAACTCCCGAGCTGGGCCCGCCACTACCCCTTGAATGCCACGCTCCCTCCACTGCCCCTCCCAGGCAGGTGCCCGGGCCCCGGGACAGCGGCTGCCCCGCCTATGGGCGCCTTACCTGGGGGGACGCCCGCAGCGCCGGGAGCGGTATCCTCACCGGCCCACGGGACGCGCACCTCCAGCCCCAGTCCACCCGCGCCCCGCTGCCTCTTCGCGGCGCTTTCGCTGCCAAGCCCGGCGGCCGCAAGTTGGAGGCGGGTTGGAGGCGGGGAAGGCGGACAGATGCACCGCCGCGGGCGCGGGAAGCAAGCAGGGCCTCCCGAGTGCAGACGCCCGCCGCGCCTCCCGCTTAATCTGGGCTGGGCCGCTGGCCACTCCCTCCACCCTGCGCAGTCACCTCCCCACCGCACACCCCCAAACTCCCCACCTCCGACCCGCACCCCACTTCCCCGCCTGGGCCCCGGACCTGGGGAGCATCACCTCCTTAACCCCTTACCCTGGATCCGCGCCCACCTGCCCCGCAGACGCCCAGCCCTTTCTCTCGCCTCCTGGGCACGACGCCCGGGTAGAAGGGACACTGCCTGGTAAGTTGGGAGGGAGGGGGTACGAGGGCGGGACCTAAGCCACGTCTTCCCTCCCTTGGAGCCACAACCAAAAAGCCTGAGTGGGGAGGGACGGACCGCGCGACCGAGCCCTACAAAACCCGCCCCGGTTGAGTGGCGAGGCGAGCTCTCCAGCCCGGGCTCCCGGAGCCGCGCTACGCAGGAGACGCTGCGACCTGAGAGCCTGCGGGTCCCCGGACTCGCTGGGGCTCTGAGCGAGCGCCCTCCATGAGCCCCCGGATGGCGCTCAGGCCGCAGGTGCTCCTGCTGCCGCTCCTGCTGGTGCTCCTGGCGGCGGCGAGTGCGGCCGGCAAGGTGAGTGGGGGCTGCGCGACCCCCACCCCCGCACTTCCATCCCCCCTCCCCGCGTCCGGGGGCCACGCTGGCCCCATCCGCAGCGGTGCGGTCGTGGAACGGCTACCGAGTTGGTGGCGGGGCTGTGGGCTCCACGCAGGTCCCGGGACAGGCAGCGGTAGCAGGCGAGCAAGTGGTGATGCCCCGGAACAGGTGGAATGCGTGAGGCTGGGGGAAGAGGCGAGGAGGGGGCTTGTCCAGTGCCTAGGGGTCAGGGATGTAGGGGACAGGCCTCCAAAGGTCAGTAAATTAAAAAATAGACACATAGATAATCGCCAAGGATGATATGTGAGAACACCGGATGTGGAGATGCAGGGTGTCACGCTGGTGAATCAAAGCAAGCGGCTTGGCTGAGAGCACAGAGGGCTGGCAGGAGACACCTGAAGGGAGTCCCATCCGCCACTTCCTAGCTGGGACCTCGCAGGAAACTCTGACCTCTCTGGGGTTCAGTTTCTTCCTTGCAAAACTTGCCCTCCTGTGTTCCTTTGCTATTGTTGGGGAAAGCAAATGCACTCGCTGTAAAATGAAGAGCGCCTTAGAAATAGAACTCAGGTTAGAATCAATTAAGCAATCTGTCACTTCGATTTGATTGTTAACTTGGAAGTTGAGTGAAATTGGATTTATTTAAATCCACCAGGTATTTCTTATTCTTTGCCATTAAAGAGAAATCGAATGTCCTTGAAAGGATTGTGCCTCCTAGAGTTGACTCACTTGATTTTACCTTGTGAAAGTGACTTTAACTTTTCAGATGCTTTATTTTTGCCCTTCAAAAAGTTTATTTGGGTGACAACGTGGCATAGTAAATTTCATTTCCAAGGATGAGATGTTTTTACAAATTTTATAATTGAGATTATGATTGGAAATGAATGGTCACAGAAGTATTTATATGTGTTACATGAAAAGAATTTTAGAACCTAGGGTCGCATCTAAGTTTTTCTTATTTAAATTGCTATCACTATATTGCAGACATTATAGATGAAACTATAAAAGCCCTCTCTGACCACCCCCGTACTTCTCCCCATTTCCCTGACTTCCAAGAGGTATCCACTTCACCACTTTCATGTTTTTTTCCAAACATTTTCCATGCATTTACACGCACTTATATGAACCCACAAACTATGTATGTTTTCGTTGGCTTTTTAACATAACTGATACCGTGCTGTATTCCTTTGAAACCTGTAGACCAGTCCATGTCAGTATTTAAGATCTTCCTGTTTTTCTTTTTGCTTTGTTGCAAAGTTTTTCACAATATGCCAAAGTTAACTGAACCATTTCCCTATCAGTTTACATTTAGGTTTCACATTAGAATGTGAAACTCGCTGTTTCACATTCTAAAGGACATTTGTAATCCATGTAATCTTCATGCAGCTGGTTCTAACGAAAACGCACTTTGCATGGATTAGGAATTCTCAGCATTTAAAAATAGGAATTCCCAGTATTTAAGTACTACTGGGCATGAAAGATGAGACTCATGCAAGTCAGTGGGTATTATCTACCAGCTTTAACCAGGAACAACAACAACAAAAAAATTCAAAAAAGCAAAATCCTAAAGAAAATGTATGTTGTGGGAAAGCCTGGGGAAGAGCTCCAGAGCAGGGTTTGTACATGTTTCTGCATTTAGAAGAAGAGGAATGAGACTGGGAAAGGGGTGGGAGCATTGTACTTGTATAAGGATCAGCCTGAAAAAGTAATGCTTGGGGACCATGCAAACTCTAATCATACCATTTTCAATTCTGTTGTCATATTCCTTTATTATTTTTACATGTAAACTTTTCTGTTTTGAGTTTGGCCAAATCTTGGTGACTTCTTGCTGAAATTAATACATTTGTATTGTTTTTCTCAGCACTTGAAGTAACTCTTTCATTAAAAAGTTTTCAGAATTACCATTTCCAGTGTACCCACTGGGTTAGAGAGAAAATATGCCTTTGAAACAATGAAATGTGCCTTCATCTTGTAGAAAAAGGAATCACAACGTTAACTGATAATCAGGCAATGGGCACCAACATGGCTCCCTTCAGAGAAACTCTCTGTTGGGCAAGGCTGCTGACCACTCTGAGCCTCAGTTTTCTCATCTGTAAAATGAGAGAGCTGAAACCCCAATGGGGCCAGCAGGTGAAGTGATGAGTGAGGTGACAGGGTAACAGACAATCTTCAGAGCCAACTAATTGCTACCATGCTAGAATTCAAGTGCAATTGTGCCAGCGTCGCTTCAAGAGAGAAGCTGGGAATCCAGTTTTTATTAGAAATTTCTCTCATTCTAAATATTAGCAACTAAGCCAAAAACTTTACAAAAACATAGTGTGGGCCAAACAATGTATAAGTGAGAGCTAAATGTAGCTTTGGAGCCATTATATTTTATTATTTTTGTAGTTAAGGACATGTTTCACTCTAAATTTTTTTTCAGTTTTACTTTAGCATTTCTCAAAACGGGGAAATCACAGTGGTGTTGACTCTACATGCTAAGTTTGTTTAGTCAGGATGGAACTGTCCACCCACACAATTTGTACTGATGTGCCCAGAATGAAATACCTCTGCTGCTTTGCACAGGCATCCAGTTCCAGGCCAGCTGCCCAATGCATCCCCAGGTTTTACAGCTGTCAGGGATCAGCTCACCCACTTGAGACAGGGAGGCATTTTGCTGTTGTCTCAGGCAACAGACCTGGGAGTGGAAGTATAGAAAGCCCCATTTTTGATTGCTGGATGAGGTCAGGTTCACACATTAAGGTATCATGGTTTATCCTTCTTTTTGCTTTAGCATTCCAGACAGGGCAGCAATATGGGAAGGAAATATCAAAAGTTGAAAAACAACTGCATTTGGGGAGGATGCTTTCTCACTGGACTTCATTTTCAAATTTAAACACTTTCAGTTAAATTAGAAAACAAAAAATAATGGAACAGACAGCAACTTCTCTACCCCTGAGATTAAGCAAGTTATTAATATACTTTGACTTGTTTGCTCTCTGACTTCTTACTTTAGGAAAAAAATCAGAATACAGAAAGTCATACACACATTCTTTACTCCATCTTTCATCCCCAAAAGTTTATGTATGTAATTCCCCTGCACAATTTTATACTTTGTGTGTGTGTGTGTGTTCTCCATAAAAAATAAGTATTACTGTTTTGTGGTCTTTCAAATGTAATAAATAGTTTCACATTATACATATCCATTGGAGCTTGCTTTTTATCACTCCATATTGTTTTTAGATTTTATCCACGTTGATACATACAGATGTGATGTATTTGTAGTAATAGTTGCTGCATAGTATCCAGTTATATAAAGTATGGTTTATTTTTCCATTCCCCTAAACAAAGTAAGCTTGTCTTTATATTTTCATTTTATAAAGTTGCAATGTTTATTTTGCTATATGCACCATTATGACAACTAGAATTTGAATTCCTTAGTGGTTCATAAAGAAAACATATTTGAAATATATTAGGAATTGACAAGTTCATCTGCAAAAGGGTTGTGCCGACAAGGTACCAGAGTGCCTATTTCCCTATATCTTTGGCAAAGTTTGGTGTGCTTAGATGTTAATGGTGTGAAATGAGATCTGGTTTTGACTAGTGAGTTTGTAAACTTTTTCGTATTTTAACCGGCCGTTTACATTCTCTCAGTGTGAGCTGCATAATACAACTTTCTGCCTGTTTACCTAGCGAACTTTGCCTTTTTGTTGCTAATTGGAAGTTATTTATATATTTAGATACAAAACTTTTGTCATTAAAGTGTATAGCAAGTATTTTATTCCAATCTTTGGTTCATCTTTGAGTTATTGGTGCTTTAATGTATAATACTGTTTTCACTATAATCTCAAACTTACCTTTTTTTTTGTTGTTGACATTTTGTCTTTTGTACCCTGTCAAATTTTTTTTTCCTTTCCTAAGATTATAAGAATGTTCTTCTACATTAAAAAAAAAAGTTTCATAGTTTAATGCTTTTACATTTAGATCTCTTAATCCTGGAATTATTTTCTACTTATGAGATCTAGTTTTATCTATTCCCATGTAGATGACAGATTGTCCCAACATTTTAAATCAAATAGTATTCTCTTTCCTTCTTTGTTCTGCAGTGTTCTAGCTGCAAACATGTATCCCACGTACCCATTCATATGTGGGTCTATTTGTAAGTTCTCTATTCCATTCTTCCAATTTTTTTTGGTCCCTCCACCAATACCACTCTGTTTTTGATCACTATCTTTATATTAAATCTATATACGGTAGGACAACTAGAAGAAAGAACAGTTATCCCTGTCATTATTATTCTTTAAATTTATTACAAGTATTCTTTCTTCTTTGCTCTTCTGGCTGAATTTTAGCATCTGCACATCAAAGGTCCATCAAAGATTCCTGTGGGATGTTAACCGGCATTGCATTGAACATATCAGTTAACTGTTTGTTGCTGAAGTATAAACACATGGGTGGTGCACAGAAATGTTACTGATTTTTAATTTCTGATGTTGAGTCAAGCAATCGTATTGAATTTTTTTATTTCTAATAGTTTGTAGATACTCTTAGATTTTTAATGTAACTAGTCACATTGTCAGTGAAACAGTTTTTCTTCCTTTGTAATCTCTTTTTTTCCTTGTGTTACTGTGCTGACCAGCTGTATTAGTCTGTTTTCCTGCTGCTGATAATGACATACAGGAGACTTGGTAATTTATATTTAAAAAAACAAAAAGAGGCTTAATGGACTCACAGTTCCACGTGGCTAGGGAGGCCTCACAATCATGGCAGAACAAGGAACATCTTACATGGTGCCAGGCAAGAGAGAAAGACAGCCAAGTGAAAGGGGAAACCCTTTATAAAAACATCAGATCTCATGAGATTTATTCATATCACAAGAAACCACCGCCATGATTCAATTATCTCCCACCGCCATGATTCAATTATCTCCCACCAAATCCCTCCCACAACACTTGGGAATTATGGGAGCTACAATTCAAGATGAGATTTGGGTGGGGACA